GGAGGGTTAGGAAGGGATTAATGGTATTATAAAGGAGAAAGAACTCAAGGTGTGAGTTTCTCTCAGTACCTCCAGACTCAGATTTAATGCGAGGCCCTCTTGCTATGTATGCGTGGATCACTGAAGCACCCTGGGGATGTTTTTTTCCCGTTCTTTCACCTACTAACTCACTCTGAATGCTGCAATCTCCTCCTCCCCGTCCCCATCCCATGGTCCTGAATGAATTAAAAGAAAAACTAAGGATTAGTAACTTTTGGGGTGGAGGATGGTAGTCCTCAAAAGACCGAATCATTGTTTACCGCTCCCTCCTCTGAAGCATGTAGCTAATCAAATTGCGTATTTATAGGCAAGTCATTGCATAATAACGGTTGATTGCTTCTGCTTTTATTCCTTTTAAATTGTGATAACATTGTATCTCACAATTTAGAAAACGTCAGTCCGAGTTTCTACTTTGCATGATTGCGGAATTTCATTTGGAGAGTGAGATATGCAATCAAAGCCAGTGTGTCACGTGATATTTTTTTGTCTGTACAGCCTTAAGTCAATGTTTAGTGCGGTATGTGTACACATTTTCTGCAAAGTAGCTGTTTTAACCAGAGAACAAATATAATGTATATTTCTTGAAGTCATAGCAGTTTATTTTCCAATTAGGAATTTTTTCAGAGCATCTGAAATGGAACATTTCAGTAGGTTTCCCAACCTAGTTAACAGTAAATGGCACATAGAATTTTAATACTGAGAGGTGACTTAGAGTTTTAATCGAAATCTGTCCTTTTATGGATAAGAAAACTGAAACCTAAAGATGTTAAGTGACTTTCCTGAGGTTGCAACATTAATTCAAGACAGATACATCTACACCGAGGAAGAACATGGTACTCACTACATTATCCTGTGCTCTGTGATGATAGTATTTTTAAATCTTATTTAAGTAGTAAATTTCATAAACTAATAAAAATTCCATCATCCTATTAAACTATTTAGCATAGTGTAGTTGCAGGTTCATTCTAGGTATTCAATAAATGTTAGTTTCTCCATTTATTTTTCAGGTGGTGTATTGTACTATATTATCATTCTTAAGATATTCAAAATATATAAAATCCTATGGTTGTAGAGAAAGGAAAATGATGAGAACAAGCATTTATTGAATTCTATATGCTTTACCCACACATGACTTAATTCGCACCACAACCTTTAATGGTAATAGGATTATCTTTCATTGACAGGTGAGGCTTCAGCCCAAAAGATAGATGACAAAGCTGAGCTTCAACCCATGTACCATCTCCTCTGTACATATTTAACCCTATGTTTTTACTTTGATTCTTCCCATCTCCAAATGTTTCTATGCATTATATTGTCACATGTTTACTGTCTTGCAAACGTGAGAAAAATCACATTTATTCAGTCAACTCAGATTTGTGAATTCATTCATCTCATGACTCACAACTTCCAACCTTTCCTTTTTGCTATGATACATAAACGTAAATGGTCTCTTACAATTTGCTTTTTTGCAATTGTTTTATACATTGCAGAATAACTATCCTTGACTATTCTCTAATTCTCTTACCTGTCCAAGTAGTGGCAATTTTTGATATTCTGATATTTTTAATCAAAATGCTCAAATGCTTACAAAATTTTATACCATAAACTATTGAGATTAATTGGTTAGCATATTGACTCTTATCAATAGACTTTTCATCAGCACTTAGATACAAATTTTAGTCATTATTTTTCCTATTCCTTCTTATTTAAAGAAAAGATTTCTTTTATTATGCAGTTCCATAAATTCAGCATTTATTAGTGGTTTATCTGGCAATTATATTCTTTGAGTCTAATTTGCTTAGAAATTTTTTTGCTAGATTTATAAACATTTTTACTCATTTTCACTATTGATATTTAGCTCTTTTGTGTCTTCCAATCTTATTATGTCTTGTCATCCTTCTGTTTCACTTTCTTTTCTCTCTTTGCTTTCTCTGTCTAAAGAAAATTCTGTCACTAAAACTTGTCGGCTTTTTTTTAGTCTGTGTCCCTTAGTTACTTGACAAAAACATAAAGGCTTGTCTTTTTAGAAATTTAATATTTTTCTCTGAATTATGCATATTGGCACCTTAATTTTTCCAATTCACTTTGCATTTTGGTGCAATACTTAAATATTATTTTCCAGATCTATAATGACACAGAGATACTTGTAGGTAAATTTATCTACTAAAGCAGCTTAAGTCTTTAAGTATTTTTATTTTGATTTCTCCATCTTTGGGCTTTCTTCATATAATTTTCATTCCTAATGAAATTGTTTATTGTGTTAGGTTCAAACTCTTCGTTTTTGTTTACTCCCACTTCCTACTGTCCTCTATCGAGAGAAATAAATATATCAGGTCTCTCATTTTGGAGCAAGAATCGGCCTGGAGAATATTTAACGTTAAGGATAATCCTTCCCAGCTGCTTTGCTACATCTAAGTTTAGTGATTTGAATGAATTCTGACTGCTCTGATTGTCCAGAGACCAAAGAATTAATTTACCTCCTACTTTAGCCTTCTCTGTCAGACATAAATATATACAACTTGCCCTTTTCACTCTTCCATTCATTTGCTTATTCAATAGTTATTTATCGGCTACCTACTATGTGCTCCATCCACGCTGTGCTAGGCACCAGGGAACACAGGAAGAAATATAGAAAACATAGTCACTGCTTATGGCACTTACAGCTCCTATATGGCGACTTATGTAGTCACTTCTCATTGACCAGGAAAGGAAGCAGTTCTAAGCAATGACGAAAGCATCATGGGACGTCTGGGATTTAGACTGTGGCAGTAGCTGCTGTATCTTTACTTGCTGTACCCTCAGTTCCTAGCAGGGCACCTGGCACTTAATAGGAGGGTGACAAATGTTGCATGAAAAAAGGAGCATAGAAATTAGGGACCAAGTGAGAACAAAGAGAGGAACAGTCAGAGACACAAAATCAGGGAAAGTAATCTAACATGTAGTTATGTAAACACTGTTATAGTCAAGAACACAGCTACTTCAATTCACTCTTTAGAGAATGAACCACCAGAAGATACTCTACATATTCTTCTAGATGGAGACTTGATATTATATAGGCCATAAACCATCCCTGGAATAAATAGAGTGTGGAAACTTCTCAATGCCTTCAAAAGGTACAAATAGTATTGAGGATTGACAACATTAAGCAGATGTGTAATAATAATTCCTTACTAGTTTGAGTTCCTGTTAGGAGCATCAATGGAGATAATAACCAAAAGATGAAAAAAAAAATCAAAGGAAATATTAATCTTAATTCTCAATGAGTCAGAAATAGTGCAATGAATTTGGAAGCAGCACTAGTTGAAACAAAATTTTTTTCTACTTTTTTTACACAATTCTACATAATATCATACCCAATGAGAATAACAAAATAGAAAGAAAATCTTTATATCCGTCTAGAAGCATTATCAGTTTTTTTTTTCATTTTTTTGGAAACAATAGAACATTTTACAGTCAAGTAAAAAAGAAATTTTCAAAGAATTCATATGTAAAGGCTAGTAATAAGAAAAGCAGCATTTTCTCATTACATTTGGACAAAGACCAGAAACATCAGCACTTCAGTACTGAATTGTTGATTGTCCTTTCCAATTTTCACCCCTTCCTGAGCACTGGAAGGACCAGGTGTGAATGGTGGGCCCAGCCTGGCTCCTGCATGTGGGAAGGAAGTGCCCCCCCCTCCTGGTCTCATACTGCATGACGTGCTTCCGGCAGACACTCTGGGCTCCTTCGCACCCGTTTTTATTACTAGCAACAGGATTTCTGTTTAATAGCATGTTTAATGAGTTCTGTGTTCTGCTATGAAGACGATGCTAAGATATTTTTTCTTCATTTGTCTAACAATAACATAAATGTATTGTGTTTATATCCCATCACTTAGCTCTGATGAAATACCTTGCAAATGTTTTAAATGTTATGCTGGAGACAATGTCTAGGTGTGGCAAAGCTATCGTGGTATGATTCTGTGCTGGTTAAGTTATAAGTAGATCATGCTACACCTCGATTTTGGTGTAAAGATCTTGCAAATGCAACAAAAATGGGGAAAGGCATTAATGTAATTTGTGTTAAGAGTGTTTCTATGTGTCTTTGTGTATGTGTGCACAGCAGTTAGATTGCTGCGGTGTTTAATTTTTGCTCCTTGACAGAGTGCGTGCCTGAGAGACTTTAACGACTGTTATGACTAACACAGTGACAAGCGTTCAGATTAAGCAGGATTAGGATCTGTTAAGAGCACTCCAAAGGAACAACTTCAAAGTCAAGACAAACCTCTTCTCTTGGTACACTTAAATAAACAAACCAAGTCTCCTCCGATTATAGTTCTCCTTTCCAGGAACACTTGGTTGTTCCCTGTCCAGCCCCTCTGTTTCAGTTTCACTACTTAAGAAGTGAAAAAGTATATTCTAACCAGCAAATTGGTTCTATCCCAAACATTTAGTTATTTTGCTTTCTTCCTCTTTAGAATGTAATTGGTTAAAAACCTGCATCCTAGGTAAGATGAGGTTGGAGCAGGATACAGAAAAACTGCAATTTGGCGTTTCCTTTCTGCTGTATCCTTGTACTATTTCAACACGTGGATTTTTCAGGACATACATATAAGGAAGCAGAAGTCTTTGTATTTATAACCAAAGGAAACTTGTCAACATTCTTTATATAATTTCATTCCATTTTCTTTCAAAATCAATTGGACATATTTTTAATTTACAGTTTATATTTAATGTCACTATTGTCAACAAAAGTCAGAATTTTTCCTTAGTTACAGATTAAAATAATACAAAAATAAAATAAAGTCATTGCTAGAAAGTAAAATAATTTTTAAAATTGTTATACCACTATGCATTTAAATAATAATAAAAAAAGAGAGATGTTTCAAAAACAAAGCATTATGGAGAAGAATTTACTGGACAAAGCTTGCTTATCTGCCTCTGATATTTCAAAACGTATCTGATCTTCTATTTTGTTTTTAGTTTTCTGGTTAGTTTCATGGTGGACGCCCGCGGTGGGGCTATGCGGGGGTGCAGACACAACGGGCTCCGAATCATTATCCCGCCTCGGAAATGTACCGCCCCAACGCGAGTCACCTGCCGACTGGTCAAACGCCACAGACTGGCCACAATGCCGCCCATGGTGGAAGGAGAAGGACTGGCCAGTCGCCTGATTGAAGTTGGACCCTCTGGTGCTCAGTTCCTTGGGTAAGGGTTTCTGATAAGCCTCCCACTTAGTCGCCGACGAGCTTGTGGCCTGTCCACGAGCTCACTAGGATGGAATGGAAAAAGGTACGTCAAACCGTTTTGAAAGAAGATTGGCTCCTGTGACATTTTAAAAATTGGAAGTAGCACCTTGGTGTTTGACTCCACTCACATGCCTGTTATTTCGAGGCATTAATGAGTTAAACATGCAGGTTGATTATTATTCTTTCTCTTTGGATGTGGTAGTAGCTGCTAGACTCCCAATGTGAATATAACCATGTTTTAGCCAAAGGTAGGTATTTTTTTTTTCTCATCTGAGAACGTTTAAGTGGTAAAGTCATAAAGAAAAAATCCTGCTCTATTGCAAACATAAATTGAAAGTCTCACGTAATTACGAAACAGAATCATTATTTTCCCTATTGGAAAGCAGGGCTGGCTTTAGAGAGTACCTAAAAACTTAGTCTATGTGATTTGTTTTTTTCTGCTATCAAAATTGCTACCCTCAGCTTTATAATTACACTGGCCGTCTATTTAGCCGCAGTCTGCATTAAGACAAAAACATCAAGACTAACTTCGGCCATGCTCCTTTTAGCAATTTCGAGCAGAAATTAGCATTTCTTCTTTCTCCTGTTTGTTTGTACGGCTGCAATTCCATTAAAGTGGCATCTCAATGTGCCAAGAAATGACGAGCTACTGCTGAACACCAGCGACAGGATGAAGTTTTGGAGGGGGACAAGTTTCAAAACACTTTGAAACAGATCAATTGTATTTAAGTCTTGTCATATCAAGTCTTGGTGCTTGAAACACTGGGAGAAAAATCCTAAAATTTATGAACTCTTGCTTTGCCAACGTCATATGGGGGGAGAGGTTTTCTTGCTTTAGAACCCGAGAAATGTTCTAAAGCTTTGTAATTTGGAGCAAACTATTAGCAGGGTTGCTCCAAATTATATTCACACCTGAAAAGGGGTGTGTTTATAGTTCCCAGTTATACAAACCACCTCTCATGGCCTCCTCTCAGACAGACCAGAGTTTTAAAAGGAGCCTGTGAAGTTCTGGGTTGCATTAGAAAATGCCATTATGTTTGGAGTAATTCCCTGATGATTCTTTTCATATTCAGTATATCAGACCCTTTTTCCCCTGATGCTCAGGTAGTTTTAGGCTTTTTTAATAATCTTCCAATCTGTTGGGGAATATCCATGAAAACGTCTGGTCTCTGGACAGAGCAGAGTTTTTATCATATTCCCAACAGCTTGTCTTTCCTGTGGAGCATTTTTTCCCCTTTTTCGGCTCGTGCCCTGGCGGTGAACCCACAGAGGGACCGACCTGACAGCTGGTGCTCTCCTTGCGCAGACGCGCCTCCATTGCACACTTTGGGTCTGGGTTCCTCGCTCTCTGTGACCAATGGAGTGATCAGAACCAAACGCAGTGTGAAACCAGAGTTCACCCTGTGGATCAGCCGGTGATGCTGGGGTTCTGTGGAAAACCATACCTGAAGCTTACTTATGTTCTTTCTTTCACTGCTGCTTTGGATGTACTCAGTAAACTTCACCTGCCAACGGCTCCTCCCCCACTTAATGAGGGAGAAAGCTTGGTCAGCCGCATCCTTCAGCTGGGGCCTCCTGGAACCAAATTCCTTGGGTAGGAGTGACTTAAAACAAATTGATGGCTGCTGGGCCCCCATTCTTCTCCTTCCTCTGCAATATGATTTCTCTTTTTGTCATTGTGCCCATGACATGTCCCTCTCTATGATTTAAATTCTGTATAACCTCTCTTTAGTGGACCATTTCTGACCCTTGTGGTATGTGACTTTTATTTTTGAGTGATGTTTTTATATCTTTTCCCTTAAAGTGCTGTGACCTTCATTTTCGTTGAAGCATGAGATCTGCCTAGTCGTACCATGTGCTAGTTACGATGTTGCTATGATGAATTTGGAGTCTGTACCAAAGCAACCTGGACTCAAAAATCAAAAGTCTCTGTGTATTTCGAGGATGAATGTGACCTAAACCTCGCAGGGTAGTGCATGTTCTGGATCCTGGATATAATAGGCATTGGACACAGTTGGCTGTTCTGCTGAAGGGCTCTGTTAGGGCCACGCTGTGTACACATGCCTATTGTTTCCTTGAATGAGGAAAATTGAAGCAAAAACCGTGAGTGCATGGCTCCTTAGTTCACAAGTAGTCAACTTTTCTTACATCTCCTCATTTATGACACATCAAATTATGCAAACGTTTAAGCCATTTTCTCTCTTAAACCATTTTGTCATTTGCACCTTGTAGAAAATGTTTTAGGAGATTGGCACATCTCATAGGTATGCATGCACATTTCTTTTGGTTAAATGTGTTCTACTTACATTTATCAAAGGAGAAGTTCCAGAATGCCACATGCACTCACAGGGAAACATCATTTGGCTTAAGGTAGCAGCATGTACCTGAGGACTGGTGCCCCTGAGGTGGAGTGCTACTGTGTGACCATCTGCTAGCCAATGGGCTCCAGAGGATGGCCCGCTCTGTCCCTGTCCCCAGAGAGAGGAGAATTCCAGGTCACTTTGCAACAGACAGAGTGGAGGTGCTTGTCTCGCCGTTGGTTAGCTCCCGTCCACACTAAACGTTCTGCATTGCTGTGTCAGGCCCGTCATCGTGGAGATCCCGCACTTCGCGGCGCTGCGAGGAAAGGAGAGGGAACTCGTGGTCCTGCGCAGTGAGAATGGGGACAGCTGGAAAGAGCATTTCTGTGAATACACCGAAGATGAACTGAATGAAATTCTTAACGGCATGGATGAAGGTACCTTCAGATTAAGGGTTTTAAAAGAAATGTACAGTGGAAGCGTGAACATGATGCATTTCTTTTCTATGACCTAGCAGGGGAGTGTGTGTGTGCATCTCCAATCATGTATGATCAGATTCTGGGACTTCTCACTTTGACAACCTAGTTGTGCCTAACAGTCAAGAGAAACATAGTTGTTGCTCCTGCCTCTATACTGAATTGTAAATTATTTCTAAAAATGAACAACTTTCCCTAATTCTTTAAAATTCCGTGATCCCCTTAGTTCAAAGTTTTTACATTTAAACCAGTCTGATTTTTTGTGTTGCCTTAAGTATCTACACTAATGCAATTTATAAAGAGCTCATGATCCCATCTTCCTGATGTCATCAGGGGAATATCGAAACCCTGAGTACATAATCACTGATCTTTTTTATGTCCACAGTGACTAATTCAGACACAACCATCCCACTGAAGTAAACACATAAACATGAACCTTTCCCTTCCAAGACAGATTTTATTTCTGCACTGTTCCCCCTGAGAACCCGAAGGTCCATATTACTTCTTAAAACCACAATAACTGGCCTTTGAGCTAACTTTGAAATTTGCAAAGAAAAGGAGTTCATAAACGACTTCCTCTCCATCACATGAACCAAGAATAGAACAGGTTCATTTTCATCCTATATTTGTCCTCATGGCCTCTCGTTTACAAAGGTGGCCCTGCAATGAGCACCTGGAATGAGATGCTTTTCTTTCACAGAGCCCTGGAAAGTCCTAGTTTTCACAAAAGAAAAAGAAAATGCAAGCTAAATGCTGGCAGGTCTTGAAAGATTGCAGTTTTTCTTTCTTTTTCTGATGTTGTTAGGTTAGCCCTGCCTTTTCAATCTTTCTATTGTTTTTTTTTAAAGAGTTTTGCTGCCACTCTGTTCACTATTAACCATGCTGATGGGTTTGCTAGAATGCTTTCAGAAGGGAGTCCTTGCTGTGTGAATGAAGGCGGGTCATTTCTTGTCTCAGTGCTCGATAGCCCAGAAGACCTAGAAAAGAAGCGCATCTGCCGAATCATCACGCGAGACTTCCCGCAGTACTTCGCGGTGGTGTCGCGCATCAAACAGGACAGCAACCTGATCGGCCCGGAGGGAGGCGTGCTGAGCAGCACGGTGGTGCCCCAGGTGCAGGCCGTCTTCCCCGAGGGGGCTCTAACCAAGCGGATCCGCGTGGGCCTGCAGGTACGCCCATGTTAGGTGCAAGTGATTCTAACATGCATTTTATTCCGGTGATTCAAAATGACCTTATCAAATGAGAAATAAATTGTGTTAAAGAATCAAATTATTCCTGGGTGAGCAAAAAAGCTGCCATCGGAGATCACAAGTCTCACGAAGTTTTAGTGATACAGTGATTAGTGGTCGTACGAAACATGATTGCCATGTTTTAAGTTCACCAAATTGATTTCTAAGACAAACAACTGCTCTTTGGGTAACAAGTTGGACATTAAATGTAATGATATATTGTTTATTTTAATATTTTTCTTCACTTGGAAAAGGCTCAACCTATGCACAGTGAGCTGGTGAAGAAGATCTTAGGCAACAAAGCGACCTTCAGCCCCATCGTCACTTTGGAACCTAGAAGAAGAAAATTCCACAAGCCAATCACCATGACCATTCCTGTCCCCAAAGCTTCAAGCGATGTCATGTTGAATGGTTTTGGGGGAGATGCACCAACCTTGAGATTACTATGCAGCATAACAGGTGAATCATACATGACAGCGTTAGTAGAGAGTTCTGGGGAAAGAAACTTGGATCATTGTAAATACGGAATTACCTTTGCCATAAGATGCCTGCAGGGTTATATACATTAATTCAAGGCAAGCATTTTAATTACATAGAGAAAGGAAAGGTGAAAAGAAAGGAACTAATATTCACTAAATAAAGTCTTATGCCAAACTAAACTGTTAGAGACTTTATATGCATAGCCATTCTCAGCTTCAGAGTAACCCTATCAGGAAACTTTAATCCCATTTTGCTGAAAAGGAAACCAGGGTTGAAAAAAGTTCTATAACTTGCCCACATTATACTATAGATATTTGGCAGAACTGGGATTCAGACCCAAGCTGATATTACCTCCAAAGCCTGGGCTTCAAGCCTTCATTGAAGACATCACCTATATCTGCTGGAAAAAAATAGCACTTTAAATAATTATACCCAATAGTTCAAACCAAACTGTTCTATCTAGGAATTGGTTATGTCTTTATCATTGAGCTATGGAACTAACCCTGGAAAAACGAAGGAAAGGTTTTTAATGATTAACTAATTTTTGGTCTTTTCAATTGGTAGTTATATGTTTCAGACAACTGCCAAACGCTCAAAAGACGTTCCCAGAACGTTGCCTTTTCATAACAATACCACCACAAATGGTGAGAGGCAAAAAAATCCGCACAAATAATCTGTTTTAGGGCTACAAAATTTAACTGATAATTTCCCTATTTATCAATAATTACATGGTGTTGGCATTCAGTAAATATTAATGCTTCATTAGTAGGAACAATAACCATCTCTGGTGGTTTGGGTATTGTTAGAATTTTTTTTTTCCCATTTTTCCTTCATATTGGCAGAAACGTTCACCTTTGTGTTGTTTTCTCTCTCTGTTTCTCCCTTCTTATTAATATGTTTTCTGTACTTATTATAGAGAACCATTGAGGTTATCCCATAAGTTTAATAATATGACAAAATTTTTAAATACATGGACGATAACGAGTATAGAGAGAAATCGTATATATGTTTCACTTAATGAGCTGTTTCCCAATGCTCATTTCTGATTACTACCTATCATTTTTGGGTATCTTTCCCATAATTTTTGCTCCATGGGTATATGATTAATCTTCTATAATGTGCAACATAATGGCATGGATGTGAAACAGTTGAGACCCAAGAGTGTCTGTGGCACCCCCTGCCTTTGTAACGATCAAACGAAGATACCATATGGGCCTAGACACCATCTAATCTACATATTCTTAAGACAGGTTTCTACTAAACAATTTCTTAAATATAATTAAAATTATTTTTTAATTAATAAGTATATGCATGTATTAATTTAACAAATACTTAGGTATTTGGGGTTTTGCATTGCTATGTTATATAGTTATGCTAAGAATATATATTTTAAAGGCCTCCTAGAATAAACTTTCCTAACCTTTCTTTGATAAATCATTCCCTTCTTTAAGAAACTTCGCAGTCAAGATTTTTGTTCATTTCAAACATATATTCTTCTTACAGCACTTTGACTAAAATTTTGTCCTTATCTATGTCAACTTAGTTTCTCGGTGGAAATGAGAGACAGGTAGTCATCATCAGCCTTTGTGATGATGTTTCTATGGGCAGAGGCTACCCTTTGGCATTCATTAATTTTTTTCATTCACTCTGCATTATTTATTGAGTTCTTAATATTTTCCAAACCTTTTTTTTTTTATGGCCAATCTTCAGTTGTAAATTTAGAAGAAATTTCATTTTTTGAAAATAATTGCATAAAATATGAAGTTCAGGAACAAAAGAATATTTAGTTTGTTTATTATTTTAACCAAGTATTCAGCTCCTTAGTTGGCCAAAGGATTTTTTAAAATAATCAACTGTATACAATTCAAAATTATCTTCAGAGCCCAGCAATTAGGATGAAAGCTTCAGAATGTCAGGCAGAGAATAGAATGCCTAGTAAACAGTTATTCAAATAACTTGCTTAAATTTAGTTCCTTGAGGGGTAGTGTCTGCTGTTTGTTTTCAATGTGTCATTTTTTAGCATGTAGTTTTTAGTCATTTTGTTTTCAATGTGTCATTTTGAGGGGTGGGTGGGATTGGGCTGGTGAACATAGAACCACAAAGACTTTATTTTAGAATCCAGAGTTTGGATCTTTGCCTAATTTTTTCCCCAACAATCATATTATTTCAGGTGGAACCACCCCTGCTCAGTGGGAGGATATCACAGGAACTACGCCGTTAACATTTGTCAACGAATGTGTTTCTTTTACAACCAACGTGTCGGCCAGGTACGCTTATGTCGCGCAGAGAAGCCCACTGTGTTATCGTCCCCCTCCCCCTCCACAAACCTGCCTTTTGTTTTATCTTGTTTATTTATTCTTTGATAGCTATTTTTGTTTCATTTTAAATATAGGATGCATTTACTTTCACATTTTAAACTACACATGTCAGGAAATGTAATAGTGACGGTATAATGACAAAGGACTACCGGTTAGATTAAAATCTAAGAAAATGAGTGACTGTCTGCTTTGGCTGGATGATTCTGACTCAGGCTGTAGCAGCCACTGCTGATTTTTCCAGTCTCAAAGGTCTCAGGAGTGATAATTTCCTGTTGTCAACAAAATAGCCTCAACCACTTTTCCAACAGAACAATAACAAAAACACAAAGCCCACTATAGTTTGCTTAAATGCCTTGGAGGTTTCAGTGGCTCTTATACATCCTGACACATTTACGTATCTCCCATTTATGTATTACGCGTTTTCAAAAAGCTAAAGCTATCTGGTTTTATTTCTTATGCCTACTCAATTTATTAATTATTAACTCAATTTATTAATTAGTTCCTGTTTTTATGGTCTTTAATTGATTACTAAGCACTTTCACATTTCTTTAATTTGATCTGACAACTTTGTGACTTACATAGGGCAAGAGGCATTATGTCCATTTTACAGATGAGAAAACTCGAGTTGAGTGTGATTAAAACTTAAATTCCTATTTGGCAGGTAAGGGGGAAGAAAAGATAAAAATGCATGAATAGTTACATATAACTGCACAGCTATAGCTGGGCTCGGTGGCACATGTTTGTAGTTCCAGCCACCCAGAGGGCTCAGCTATTGAGTCTACGCTTCTATGCGTCAGTGTGTTCTGCCAGTTATGTACCTACACTCTAAGGCCAGAAGATAACATGTTCTGAATGAGGGATATAGACCAGAGGTACTAAAAGAATTCAGAGGAGGGTGCTTGTCGTATTGGGATAAAGAAGATGTCCGGGAAGAGGTGACTCTTGGGACCTATGTTGGAACCCAATAGAAAAATACAAGTGGAAAACAGAATAACATGAGCAGCGAAGCAAAGATTGATTCCAGAAGGTTTAACGGAGGATGGCGACAATGATCTGTGTAGTCCATCACTCAGAAACAATGCTGGAATGTTGGCTAGCAACACCGTTTATAGATGGCCCTGTAAGGTAGATCAAGAAATGAGGAGTCACCATAAATATACATAATTTTTATTTGTCAATTAAAAGATTATTTAAAAAGCTCCCAGAACTACATGAAAATAAAAATACAACAAAAAATAAAAGGAGTTGCAGTAAAAATAAATAAATAAATAAATAAAATTCAGCTATTGTGTCAGAAAATGTAAAAAATAAATAAATGAGCCAGGGACAGTAGCTCATGCCTATAGCCCCAGCTTGGGAGGCTAAGGAAGGAGGATCACTTGAGGCCAGGAGTTCGAGACTCTGTCTCTACAAGAAATATGAAATAAATACAATTAAAATACCAAAAAAAAAGAAATGAGGAATTATTATGTTCTGTACTAATAATTTAACTCCCAGACAATTAAAGAAACAGTGAATGGAGTTTGATCAGCAGAAAGAGGAAAGTAATATTGCGTGCCTGACATGAGCCAGGAACTACACTGAATCTTAAAAACATCATGCTTATTGACCTACACCAGACGCAAAAGGACAGATATGGCATTATTCCACTTATATGAGGTGCCAGGAATAGGCAAATTCATCGAGACAGAAGGTAGAAGTTACCAGGGGCCAAAGTGAGGAGGAAAATGAGGGGTTATTGTTTAATGGGTGCAGAGTCTCTGTTTGGAATAATGAAAAGTTCTTGAAATTGATAGTGGTGATGGTTCCACAACACTGTGAATGGATTTCACACGACTGAATTGTACGCTTAAAAATGGTTAAAATGTTACGTGTATTTTAGCACCATAAGAGAAAAAGAAGAGAGATGGATCAGGAACTTGAAAGAAAGAGATGCTAAAAGGAGAAAGAAATCGCAGGAATGTTTAAAAATTGTGGAAAATGAATAAGAGGAAGGAGAGTAGTCACTGGGGAAAGGCTCCAACGCGAGGGCATAGGGGATACACCCTCGGAAGCGTATAGAAACAAATGGAAGACGTGTCCACAGGATGGCCTACACTGTCCCCATGCAGCTGTCTTTCCTAGAGCCTGCGGTGAGGGGGAAGCTCGAGGAGTGTCCTACAGGTTTGGCAACGTTCCTGTACCGAATAAAATGACATTTAAGCAAACACTTGCCAAGCCTTGTCACAGACGAAGCTGCGGCTGGTAATCACGATGTCATAGAGCCAACAATTTCTTCTGTGAATTACATTCAGCAACATTTAGGAGTTCTGGAGCAGATTTTTTAAATGGTTGGGTCAATCCAACCCTGGTGATTGCAGAGTTCCTTGGAAAAGGACGAGGAAATGGGGAACAGCTGGGTAGATTTCAGGAAATGGCATGAAGAAGAGGAAGGATGGAGGAAAACCGAAACTCATACAGTGAGATCCTGGATTTCGATCGAAAGGATTCGAAAACACAGACCATACGTTTCAGGAGACTGAATGCTCAGGAGAGTTTGCAGAGAAGAAACTTACAAATACAACAGTTAATAGTTGCTCTTAAGAACCTGCCATATCTTTCTCTCTTCCCCTCACTCTCTTCTGCCTCCCCATCCATTCTGTCCTTGTCTTGCTCTCCCTTTCCTTTGACTTTATTGACGATCTCCCGCTCTCACATCCTTCTTTTTCCAAGAAGCGTTTGATGATGACTTTGCTCACACTGAAGGAACTGGTGTTTTTTCCAGTGGTTGCTTTAAACTTTAGGTAACTGACCTTATCTCTTTTTATAGGTTCTGGCTGATAGATTGTCGACAGATCCAAGAATCCGTTACCTTTGCCTCACAAGTGTATAGAGAAATTATCTGTGTACCTTATATGGCCAAATTTGTAGTGTTTGCCAAATCGCATGACCCCATCGAGGCCAGGCTGCGATGTTTCTGTATGACTGATGATAAAGTGGATAAGACCCTTGAACAGCAAGAGAACTTTGCTGAGGTGGCCAGAAGCAGGGATGTGGAGGTACTGTATTAAAAAAAAACCCAATTTATACCATTTTGTTATACCTTTATTAATAGGTTATATTTCAAATAGAATTTAATAAATAGAATCATAAAAAATGAAAGACTAGTCCATATCTTGATCAGTTAGAAGGTCAAGGTCCAAAATCTGCTGGTTTAAGTCCATTTGGACCTATCCTAGAGGGATGATCTCAGCATATGGGAAGAGGTAAAAAGATTCCTTTAAAGATTGTTTGGGAAAAAATGATGAGTTATTGATAAATTCAAAGTATGTAAGTGACTGTAGCATTTTAAGTGTTTTTGGCTTTCCTTGTTGTTCTTATTTTTTAAGAGTGAAAAAAACAGTCTAGGAAATACATTCTTTTGCATAAATGTTGAAGGAGGATATCCAGTGCTTTTCTGTATTACTTTTTCTTATTTCAGAATTTTCCATCAGTGTACATGTTTGGTTATTAAAGTCTGGTAACCTGACTCATTGTTATGTCAAAAGTTACCCAATCGGAAATTTAAATTTAGGATTTCGGCCAGGTGCAGTGGCTCACACCTAATCCTAGCACTCTGGGAGGCTGAGGCAGGAGGATCGCTTGAGGTCAGGAGTTCGAGACAAGCCTGAGCAAGAGCAAGACCCCGTCTCTACTAAAAAAATAGAAAAAATGAGCAGGGTGACTAAAAATAGAAAACAAAAAATTAGCCGGACATGGTGGTGTGTGCCTGTAGTCCCAGCTACT